GATCTTCCTCTTATTTACTGGCCATGCCACTCTTAGAAAATTATAAATAGACCCCTTATTTCTCATAGAAAGGGGCCTCCAGGGGGGGGGGGGGAGAGACTCTTAGAAAATTATAAATAGACCCCTTATTTCTCATAGAAAGGGGCCTCCAGGGGGGGGGGGGGGGAGAGAGAGAGAGAGAGAGAGAGAGAGAGAGAGAGAAGGAGACCTCAAGCAAAAAGGGAAGAGAAGGAAGCAATGAAGCAAGAAGAAAAGTAAGACAAGGAAGAGAGCACTCTTGCCACAAGAATCCTTCTTGACCACCACCAGACTTCCACCCGGTAGCCTACTGACACCGGAGTAGTTCTACCCGACTGTCAATTGTTGTTGGAGTTCTGCTCGTTGCCGGACTTTTGTCGAACTTCTACCTGACGACGGACTTCCTCCTGTCGCCATATTTCTACCAGATGTCAGATTTCCGCCCGTCGTCGGACTTCTACCCGACGCCAGACTTCCGCCCGTCACTAAACGATGGTCTTTCTGTCCTCTGTTGCCCACTGAATATGGTCCTTCTGACCAAACGAACATGCCAATAGTGATTCTTTCTATTCCCACCATGTAATGTACTTCATATGATGTACATCAAGCCAAAGCCTTCCCTCAAAGAAGGGCCTAATTTGTAATTGATAGCAAATAATAGTGAATTCATTCAAACTGGGCTAGATCCTATAATTTTTCCCCTTTTCAGGATTTTTCACGTAAAAATCTTGGTCTCTTATGAATGATGCGCCATCTAGTCTTTCTGTATGCGTGTTAGATCTTCGTACAACGCTAAGACGTTAAACTTCATTCTTCTCTACTGACACGAATATTCAAGGACCCAACAATGCTCTAAATGATGTACATTTGCTACATTTTGTCAATGACTTATCAGAAGGAATGACATCATTTGTAATCAATGATAAATACTAGTGTAATCATTTTAGCAAGGTTAGATCCCGTGGGTTTTCCACTTTCTAGCATTTTCCATATAAAAATTATGACGTCTCTAAATTATATGACTCCATATTAATTTATTTATTTTATATATTTTCCGGATAGTTTTGAGATTAAAGCGTGACTAGTGAGGAAGAATAAGCTTCCATCACGAATGTACCCCACAGATCCATTCCTTTTTATTTTATATTAATGTATAATATTTCAAACAAACGAATCTCAGCACGTTTTTCTTGTTCATGATGGCTCGCGTGCACTCTAGTCTTTATTGGAAGTTTATAATTCATACTTAATTTTTACCTTTAACAAAGTAAAAAAGGTTTTTTTTTTTTTTTGACATTTAGGCCATTTAAGGCAAACTCACACATACAATGCATACACAAAGACTCGAACCCAAGACCTTTTAGTTGGAAGCAAAAGCTCTCAACCAACAGGCCAAGGTGAGCTGTGTAAAGTAAAAAAGTTCACTGTATGGAGTTAGTCTCCTTCTCAGTTTCTTTTAAATAATGAGTGTTACACATAAATTTAATTTAGATAAATTTAAAATTTATATAATTATTTTAAGATTTTAATTAACTAATAATATATTTAAGATGATTATTATATTTTTATGATTAAAATTATTATGAAAAATTTAATTTTGATAGCTATTAAAAGCAACTTCATAATAAATTATTTTTAAAATTATCAAGAAAATAATAACTAATTTTGATTTTAAAAATAGGTGTAAGAACGTTGTCATAAAAAATAAACTTCTTTAAAATTGCTTTGTCGACTGGATAGTAATTATAAAAATTGACTGGGGCCATTGAAAATTGATATTGAATATTTTAATTTGGATTTGAGTTAATTTTAATTTTAGTAAAAATAGTTAATTTTGTGTCAATTCTTGAATTTTTATAAATGTATAAACTATGAATTAATTTAATTACTATAATATAGTAAGACACACACACGCACACATACACACACACACACACATCATATATCCTTGATAGGATTCTCTTGACCTCTTCACATATTATTAACATCATCGAGCAATATTCTGACATAAAATCATCAGAATATATCATACATTCTTGGTGGATTCTCTCGATCTCTTCCAATAAGTTCAACATATCGAGTAGGGCTCTAATATATAAACTCAGATAGGTCATACATCTTAGTGATTCTTTCAACCTCTTATACATATTTAAACGTCATCGAATGTGGCTCTATATATTGAATACTCACGAAGCGGCTATTTCCTTTTGTTGGATTCTCTAGGCTCGTTCAAGCAGAGGTCGAACATTATCAAGCATGCTTTGATGAACAACTTCTCTCTATAAAGAATTTTTGAAAGTAAGTGGTTGATAAAACCATCACTCATATATAAAGCACTTAGCCTTCTAAAAAAGCCAAAAAAGCCATGGAAGTGCCAAAATATCAAAGTATGTCTCAAGATGCATTAATAACTTTAGTTCTTCTCTATGGAAAAGCAGTTCAATTGTCATAAAACCAAAGCTTTGCGCTCATTACAATAATCTCGAACTTCATATATAATATCATTGGAGTTACATAATTCCACATAGATTCAATTATATATTTATTTTCACAACAAGATAAAATTAAAGTTATTATCGACTTATCATCCGTGCACGTTAATATCTTGCAAGCTAACAAATAAATCTTCAAAAAGGTTGAATATCATTGGTGGACTCTATGAATTTCTTCTTTACTGTACATCTGAAGGCATCTCCTATTACACTTCTTACTTCAAAGAAAATTAATATAACATGAATCATCATGGTGGCTGAGGGGCCCTCACTCAATTGACACCATTAGTTTGTGATAGAATACTTAACATAAACATCTGCTTCGCACCCCTTCAATTAAGGAATATCTGATGTTGCGCACATCAAAATGGGATATATATATCTTAGGCAATTCTAACTGGCACTCACCATCACATAGCTCTCGTTACTTCAACTCTTTTACCTTCGGAAATAGTCAAGTATCGCTTCCACTTATAATCTACTATTAGTAGTATCACCCTCCAAACAATCTCCCTCAACTTTCCATTTGAACATGTCAACCCTATCGTCCTTCCACTCGATCGACGATCGCCATCGAATGTTCCCAATCACTAATCTCTACCAACTCTTAGCGTGTCGGCTGATTTGTCCTTAGATTTGCTGCTCAAGCATCATAAAAAATGTTCCCGTTTACTTGCCAAAAATCATTAGTTTCTTCATGGTATTATTACCACCATATATTCTCATCACACTCGCTTGTAAATCAAATATTTTTTTCACTATCTAGGAAAATTTTTATTATGACTTCTTTTATAAGAGAAGGACACTGAATTTGATAGGCGAGGGATGCCCAGTATCTTCAGACATAGGAATGCTTCTAATATAAGAAGAAAATAAGATGAGAAGATAATGGAATGATGAAAAATATTTAACTTTTACATAAGAGAGGGGCACTAATTTTCATAGAGGATGCTGCCTACTCAACTAGTGGAATGCCTCAATGTATTGAAGAAAATTAGTGAGACGACAAAGGAAGGAATTTTTTTTTAACTTCTACACAAAAAGAGGGGTTGAATTTGAGAAGGGATGCCACGTACCAAAAACAATGAAATGCCTAAATGTAAGAAAGTTAGAGGGAGAAGATAGGAGGAAAAAATGGAATAATTTTCCCCTACCCCAAGGGGGTATTTATAGGAGAAAAAATGGGGGGAAATGATTTGAAAAAGGGGGGGGGGAATGCCTCCAATTTATGTTTGAAATTTTTCAAAAATTCTTCTAGAATTTTCTAGAAATGTTTTGGGCCCTAAATTAAAAAAAAAAAAGATAAAAAAATTGTCTCTTTTCTTTTAATAAAAAATATGGCCCCACGCAAAAAAGGAGAGATAAAAGAATTTTTCTTTCTTAAAAAAGCATGATGGGCCCACAAAAAATCCTTCTCACTAAAAAAAATTAAATTCGGGGACTATAGCTGCAAGTGTATGGCGCCAAGCAAAAAGATTATGTAGAATTGAATACCATTTTTGTAGAAATTTACTGTAGTGAATCATTGCAATGCATTAGTGTAGCGCAAGGATCTGCGGTCCTATAATAGTATTATCGTGTACTGTAACAACCAAATTATGTGTAGGGGCAATTTTTGCTCAAACAGTCCCAAATCGGATAAGTTTAAATCTTTGGAATCGTTTTTCGATGTTCCTGATCCAATTTTGAAACTTTCGTAGGTCAACGAATCTTTTATGATATAGTTTTCAGCAAAATTACATTTTCTTAAACAAAATTTTCTGACATATTTTGCGATTCGTTCAAATTAAAATGTTATATATATATATATCAGAAGAGTATTTTATCCTAAAGTTAAAAAAATTAAGAACTTAATAATAAGACTCAACTATCAATAGAGATAGCTTCCTAAGATCATTCAGACTCTAGAACTAGAATTTCTTCAGAAAGCTACGAGTACTTTTATTAGGGGGGGGGGCACGTGCCCCCTCCCTCCGCAAATAATTAATAGTCTAAAGATAGATATTTCTTCACATTTGATTTGGGATACAAACGGTATTCTCTCCATCCTAATAAAGGCAAAATTAATTCTAAGGAGATTTAATTCAACCTCTTTCATAAAGGTTAATGTCATCAAGCAGGGCTTTGAGATAAAATCTTAGATAGTTCATACATTCTTAGTGGATTCTCTCAACCTCTTCCATATAAGTTAACATCATCGAGCACAGCTCTGACATACAACCTCATATAGGTTATACATCTTAGGTGGATTCTCTTGACCTCTTCCATATAAGTTAATGTCACCTAGCATTGATTTGACATACAACCTCGGATAGGCGTCGCACTGTTCATCTACGCCATTTTTTTCTCTCTACCGAACAGGTTGGGAAGAAAGGCGTGAAAGAAAACGACTGTTTTAGCGGCAAAATGGTGTTGGATTGGAGATGAAACACGGCATTTTTTTATTTTCCTGCATTTTGGAGTGAAAAATTACATTTTCGGTTGGAGATGCCCTAAACCAGGAGGGTCTCCCATCATCTATCTCTTCCTTTCGTTCTATAATAATACCTCTCCATCTTAAACTTATTTACAACCCAACGATGGAAACATCAGGAACTCTGATTATTTTCTCCCATGTCTTGTTCATACTCCTCTTGGGCAGCGCTTGGGCAGAGACTGAGAGGTCTGTTGCGGCGCCTTCACCTTCCTCGTCTCTTCCACCAGCGGATTGCATGTCCGAGCTGTTGAGTCTCTCTGTCTGCCTGCCTTATGTGCAGGCGGGAAGCACTGTGGCAAAGCCGGATGCCTCCTGTTGTTCGCCTCTAAAGAAGGTGGTGAAGGAGAAGCCAGCGTGCCTTTGCCAGTCCTTCGGCTCCAGCTCTACATTTGGCATCAGCCTTAACATAACTAAAGCCCTCTCTCTCCCTTCTGCTTGTAGTTTAAAAACTCCCTCTGTTCCCAAGTGCAAGTGTGAGCTTTTCTTCTCTTTTGCTTCAAATTTTGTTCTGAAGTGATATTTTTTGCCCCCCCCCCCCCCCCCCCTCTCTCTCTCTGTGTTTTTCTCATATTTTTCTGTGTTGCAGTGCCTGTGGCTGGTGCGCCTTTGGGAGCTCCTGGTATGCTATCCATTTACTCTCTCGCACTCCTATTCATAAATTATTTTTTTCGGTTTGGTTATATCTGGATTTGTATTTGTTTGTTTGAATGTATACTGGATTTTAAATCTCAAACTTGCATGGTTTGCTTTAAAGAAAATTAAGTGATGGAAAGCTGAGCATAAAAAGATGTGCACAGTCCATATTTTATATTTTTCTTTATAGACGAGAGCAGGATTAAGAAAAAAATAAGCACCACAGAGGGAAAAATAATCAGTATTTCCTAATTCTTTTTCATGAGGTCACTGGTTATTAATTAGAAAGAGAAAAAAGAAATTTATATAAAAAATTAAAGCAATGAATGATATTTTTTTAATATTTATTGAATTTCTCTCTCTCTATTTATCACTGAATAGTATTTTCTCAAAAGAATAGGCCTCATTATCTTCTTTATTATTTAGAGTATTTTTTGGGAATAAAAAAACCTGTCCTACGAAAGTTATCAGGAATAATAATAGACCTTTGCATCATTCAATGAAAGGTTAGCAGTGGACAACGGTAAATGTTAATTAATTGGGTACGTTTGTACTGCTTCAATGTTTTTTTTTTATAAATTTGATGAAAAATTCATTTAATTTTTTTCTAAGCAAAGGCACTATGTTTTAATTTTTAAATTTTTTGGATTATATTTTATGAATGGTAATCGTAAAATATATAATTTGAATTTAAGATTTAAAAATAGTAATATTCTTTAATATACCATGGAATGTTTCACATTTTATGAATAATTTATCTGCTTCTCTTTTATACAAATTGAATAGAATGCCCTATTGAACCGAGTTGTGGTTGGTTGAAGATGAAAAATCTTTCTAGTCAATTGGCCTTCAAATTACCTAAACACTCCACCCCAAAAAAATGTATACCCTATTTTATTTATAAATAAGTACATATAGGACATATTAATCTTAGACTTATATATTAGGTCTTTTTTTTTCCTCTTGATGCTAGGTCCTCTTACTTTTATGTTGGAGTTTTTGAAAAAATGATACAATTCAAATATTTCCTAAGATTTTTATATGTCAAATAAGCTCAAGCTTTTAACAATAAAAGCTAGTTATAATTGCCTATTATATCACTTAATTAGATCACCAAAACTTCTAATTTCTAAATCATGAAAATTCAAACACATGATCGACTTACTAGATCGGGTCCAAACCAACATAGAGCACTATAACAATAGGTGTTACACTCATTAACCAAATTTATAAAATATTCATGATGATGTTGAACATATTCCATTTTACTAGCAGGGGGAGTAATAATAAATTGTTTCTTGGATAGCCATGTGAATGTCATATCATCCAATTAGAAAATAATAATATATTTCTTTTTGGATAATCATGTGAATGCCATATCACCCAATTAGAAAATAAATCATGTGGTACTTTTCTTATCATCAATATCTCCATTCCAATCATTGTCAAGAACAACATTTAAAAATAATCGAATGAAGTATATGATAGTCCATTGTAGACTATGTAACTGGGATAAAATGGAAAATCCCCTTAGTAGTTTTAAATGCATTAGCTTTGGCTCTTTCATATGTCAATTAACCAATTTAACTCCATGAAGAATATCAAGCTTTGTGCATAGCAAACTTTATTTCAAGCTTTTTCATAGAGTATGATCCATCATTTTGCCTTCATATTTTGATAACCCCACTCCACAATCAACATTAGTGCTAATTAGATTGCAGCATCATGCATGGAAGTTTTGGAGAACATCCATTACATAAGCTTCTTGTGACATAAAATATCTTCTTTCTCTTACTTCACTTCCAAATTGAGGAAGTAACTGATGGGACTCATCAGAGAATGCTACATCGGTTTAATTTTTCTGTTCATGCATTTTTCCTTGTGTTTTCTACTTTTCAAACTGTCTTATATAAGGTGTATGTGGCCGAATAGGTGAGGGATATTTTTAGGTTTGATTCTAATTATCCTTGTGGTTGAGTTGAACAAATGTTACAGACCCTTTTGGGTTGCCAATTCAAGTTTACTGATGAAGATGGTCGTCTATTGAAATTAAGCAGAATCCTTATGCTATGTTCAAGGGCAGAGTTGTATAGTGATATTATCTCTAGTGCTGCAAGCAAATCAAATGTTTGATGAATCATTCGACGAGCTACTCATTGCTCGGTTCGATAAAAAATTATTTGTGATCATTTAATTAACTAAATAAATAAACTTGAATAATATTTTAAATATTCTATCCTTAAATAAACAAGCTTGAACACTAATGTGTTTGACTCATTTATGTTTATGAACAACATCATTTAAAACTCGTGAACAATCATGACATTAATCTCGATAAGAAGCTTGATTCCTGTTCTATTCAGAACTCGTGAATAAGCTTGATAAAAACTTAATTTATATTTGATTATAAAATTGATAAATATATTTAATATAAAAATTTTATATTTATTATAACATAATGATATAACTATTATTAAATATTTATTATAACATAATGATTATATCCGCCAGTAATAGTTATATCCTAAACTTTTTTGCTTAGGTTAAGCCGGAAGTTTACGAAGTATCTATCCGACGGTAATTACCGACGGATAAAATGCCATAGGTTTGCCGTAAATAAGCTACGGCTTGTTTCCGGCGAATAATGCGCGTCGGAAAACGCCGGCGTATATGACGCCGTAAGCTGCGCTGAAAATTTCCGGCGTACAAAAAAACGCATGCATGATCGCACCGATTGGTTGTATCGTCGTTTCCGTCGTATTTCTGACGCAAAATCCGCCGGAAACCTGTAGCATTGACAAAAAAAGTGCCTTCCCAGCCAACAATTGCATTTCCACACCTGCAAACATAATCAAATACATATCCAGAACACAGCTATACACATTACAGATATAAAGAACTTCAACATATACTCAAAAACATAAATATCCATTAAAACAAATTGTTCAGTAGCATCAACCAATTAAAAACATCACATATTCACAGAAATAAACAAGTTCATATGACTAAACTAAACTACTCTGACTCCTCAGCTGGAGCTACCTCTTTTCCACTCATCCGCTCTCTCATTTTGCGCATTTCATCCAACAACTGATTGTGTTGCTCCTACATCTGCATTTGAACCTGTGCTTGCAACTGAGCTTGCCAATCAGCTTGTGATTTCCTTACTTGTTCTAGCTCTGCTTGAAGGACACTTATTTGTTGAGTATGTAAGGACTCATGTGAACTGGATGAGAAGCTGGATGCAGTAGAGGAGGTCATCCCCTCGTATGCTTGAGCTTGCGAACCTAAACCATAAACTCTGCCATGTTGCATTCCTTCGACGGCCTGCGACCAGATGCGATACTCAGAAAACTCCACAGAGCTGCCAGAAGAGCCCTCACCTGATGCGGCATGACTCTCTCGAAGCCGTGTATACTCCTCCTGTGAAAGTAGAATATAAATATATATAATTAAACTAAAAATAAAAATTATTAAACACATATATATACTTACATGGGCTTTTCTTGCTCTCTCATCAATCCATTGTTGATTCTCCTGTCGCTTATGAGTGTGACTATGCATACCTTTTGTAAATGTGTATTGAGAACATCTATGACAAAAGTAAAAAGATATGGTGATTTGTAGAAAATTATGATCAATTTGTATCCTATCTCAAAGGGTCAATCCATTCATCCACCGAAGCATCTCATTCTATTGACTCGATCGCAAAAAGTCACAATCTCATCTTTAGGTCAATTGCTACTAAAATTATACTTCGTATATTTAGTTTTAAACTCTAAAGTTGACCTCCATAATTCAAGTTTATCTTAAACTCCCTCTCTAATCTTATCAACAATAAGAATATCATTAGCAAAAAGAATACATAAAGGTACATCCTCTTGCAAATGCCTATTGAGAATGTTCATGACTAAAGCAAAAAAGATTTAGCCTTGAGGCAGATCCTTTATGTAATCCAGATATAATAGAAAAATACTTGGTCAAACCACCTTGTGTTTGAACACAAGTAATACCTCATGCATATATATCTTTAATGTTTTGAATACAAACATTATTAACTCCTTTTTTTCAAGAAGTCTCTATAGAACATCTCTTGAAACTTTATCATATGCTTTATCTAAATCAATAAATATCAAATGCAGATCATCCTTATTCCCTTTATATTTCTCCATCCAAACCTTTCAATAAATGTATAACTTCCATAGTAGACCTACCCGGCATGAATTCAAATTGATTTTGAAAAGTTTTGAAACAAAGAAACATTGAATTTAAGCGTTATTAACAATTTTTTTTGCAAGAACTCTCAATAGTAGTCCTCTTGAAACTTTATCATATGCTTTGTTTAAATCTACAAAAATACATATGTAGATCCTCCTTACTCTCTTCATATTTGTCCATCAAACCTCTCAAAAATGTATGGCTTCCATAATAGATCTCTCGGCATGAATCCTAACAAATTACACGAAAAAAAAACTTACAATCAACGGGCAATCGACGGGAGGCGGAAGGCGGAAACTCAAGGCTGGAAATGGAGCTCTCGCCGGCGAGGAAGGCTATGATCGTCGGCGACGTCCGGTGACCGTCAAGAGAGCTCGGTGACCTCGATCTATGGCGAGCGATGGTGGGCGACGAGGGAAACTGTAACATCAAAATCTGCTCCAGGATCGTCCGGGCCGATCTGGATCGTCCTGGGATGATCAGTGCAATTTTTGTTCCAGTTTTTTGTCCAGAAGATACAGGAAAATTTCCTGTATGGATCGTCCAGGCCGATCTGGGATCGTCCTGGGACGATCAGTGTATGACAAAAGTCAGAGAGCAAATCGTCCTGGAAATTAATTATCGTCCTGAGAAATCGTCCCAGGCCGATTGGATTTTGTTCTGATCGGCCAGGACGATCGTGCGATCGACCCGGCCGATCGGTGTATTTTAAAGCTGAAATCAGCTCATTTTGAAGAGAGAGAAATCAAAAATAAATATCTGAAATAT